TTAGTTCATAAAAATGTTTAAACATATAATGACTTTCTTAATATGCTTTGTGTTTTGCCTTGTTTATTCTCAGTTTTAGTTGGTAAAAAGTTATGAAATGTGTGTAAAATGTTGTTAACAACAATTAGATAGAATAAATGATTTGGCCATTTAAATAAAAACAAAAACGTGAATGTCATGCATTTAGCATTTAGTGTGTTATTGAAAAGGCCAATCTATGATGGCTGTCATGGCTATCTGAATATGGAATCTATATAACAACAATGGCGTTTAGTGTTTTGCAAAATGTGCAAAGCATTTGCATTTTGTATGAACACAGTGGGAAATGAAATAATGCTGTGGTCAGTTGTGTTAATGGTGTGTGGTTTTGAGGCTGTGTTTAGAATGAGGTTACACATTTGATGATCAGTGCCACTGAAAGAAACTGTATTACAAACCCTTCCTTGTGGCAGCATTATCACACTAACACTTCTGAAAAGCCTGCTCTTTGTTCCACAACACCAGATAATCACACTAATACTAGTTCTACATGTGCACACACACACACACACACACACATCAGGCCAAATGGCATGTTAGTATATATTCAGGGAGCTTGGTATGTGCTAATGGAATCATATGGATGACTGAAGCTGGTCCTGGGTCAGGGATCCTAAACATTTGCAAAAATAAAAAATAAAGTAATTTTTCTATAATTAAAATAAAAAAAAATACAGAAGAGTGCTGTTATTATTTTATTTTTTTGTTTTAATCTTAATTTTAAGTTATAGAGCTGTAATAAAAGTCACAATCTATGAAATTACAGTAATTATTGCTATTTTCAGTGATAAAAACTGTATTTTGACAGTTTACCAACGAGAAATGTGAAAAGACATCTGTCAATTAACAAACAAATCCATGTAAAATTGCAGAAAAAATACTTTTTTTACTGTTAATTGTCACTAATTTTAAAATAATTTTAGAACTGTATTAATAGAATGAATTCAACAGTTTAGTTATTAAATAAACAGTAAATATCTGCAGAAAAATATAGATTTGCAAATGTATTTTAATGTGAAGAAAATTGACATTTTCTTTAAATAAGCAGTAATTTTATGATTTTATATGATTATTTACAGTTACGGATTTTCAGACTATTTTTGTAATTTTATCAATATTTCCATGTATTTAAAAAAATACAGAAATGTACAGCTTTTTTACAGTGTAATAGAGACTAAAAAGCTAATAGTTATAATATTGCAACTTCAATTTAGACCAATAGTATTGAAATCTCTTTAATGGCTATATTACACAACTATGCATGTATATGGAAAACAGCGGGTCATCTACTAATAGGAAGGTTCGATCCCCGGCTCCTCCCTACACACCACTCCCTGCCACATGTCAAATAATGCACACATGCAGCATCTCACTCTATCAAACAGACATGGTCTGCTGTAGCCCTACAGGCCTCCCACATGGCATGCATGCGATAAAAGACAAAGAAAGTACATCCTTCTTTGTCCTAAGTGCATAAGCTACGTTATCATCTATGTAACAATTGTAAACTGTAAATTATTATCATGCTTGTTTTAGTTTTGTTTTCAGGCACCTCCTGCCACATGTCGAAGTGTCCTTGAGCAATACTGAATTGCTCCCGATGCAGTGTCATCGGTGTGTGAATGTGAATAAATGAGTTAGTTTGTGTTCGGAGTTTGCCATCACTGAGTGAATGTGTGTGAGAGGGTGAATGTGGCACGTGGTGTAAAAGCGCTTTGAAGAAGACGAGAAAGGTGCTATAAAATATTGGATGGGTTGCCATGACATTAGGTGGATGTGAACAATGTTTGGCTGTACAGCATGACTGGGCCACTGGTCGTGTTATTTTTAACTTGAAATAATCACATTACACCAATCACATTATAGCATATTTACACTGGTTAATACCCAGTGTGTGTGTAGGTGTGTATGTGTGTGTGAGTG